GATGATGATGATGATGATGATGACGATGATGATGATGATGCAGTTTTAATTGTAGCAGTTGCATCAAATGACGACGATGATGACGACGACTGGAGTCGTTTGAGGCTTCGACTTTGTGCACAACTTGTTGCACATGACCGGCGAGAAGGTCCTGCAGCTCAGCCTCCGTGAAAGGTTTTTGGACTGGTCCGTGCCCTGTTTCGTGAGGCACATGTGGGTATTGGGAGTGGTATTGGGTATGGATGCCTACCCAGGATTTGTGGATCACCTGTAGCACCTTTTTGGGGGGGATTGGTTGGTTTCCAGGTTGGTTTCCCCTTTCAAAAGCCACAAGATGGGAAAAGGATGAAAACGGATCACCTTCATTTCAGGAAAACTAGGAGTGAGGATGAAACATCGTTTGCTCTCCAAGCAGCATATCTGCAGCGAATTTTACGCGGTGGATGTGAACAGCCACACTTTTGGCGGTCCCAGTTTGTTTAAAGCTTCGGGTTGGGATGGTGGGGAAGTAGGGGTGCTTGAACTTGGGCCACATCTATTCTGGTCAAAGATGGTCAAAGTATATTCAGAAGGTCTCGGGAAGCATTTACTTCTTACCTGAAAGGGAGTTTGTTTCCTCATTTTCCACCTATATACTCCTGCAGGATCTCCCAATAGGGGACCCCCCAGGAAATCATCCAATTGCAATTTTGTGTGGCAAATCCCATAGTTTGGAGGGTCAGTCATCCCCAGTAGTGGTTCCTTTCTGGTCTAATATGTGGTGGCCCAACCCGGCGTTGGGTGAAGGTTGACGATGGATGTTTCACCAACACGTTCGTCTCCGTTGCTCGTTCGTTTGGTGGTTCTTTTTGGGGAATGATGGGGAATGTGATGTTGTTTTATCAAAAAGGCATAAAAAGGCACTTGCACAAAAGTGCTTTGTTTTTGGAATGATCGTTACTTACACCCTAAAGCCTTACTGGCGAGTAGTAACGGCCGTCAGCTCTTGAAATCCTCTTTTCAGGAATAAGATGCATGGTCTTATCCACATGATTCACAGGAATCACGTTCCACGACTGCATCCGGCAGTTGGCACCCCGTTGGTTTCCACGAAGGCGTGAGACCACCCGAAGCGTCTCCACGCGCACGCTCAAATCGCTGTCACCGCCATGCTCCCGGAAAGCCGGTCCCACAAGGCAACCGTTTCATGATCCCGACCGACGCTTGGTGGCGCTCTTCAATGGCGCCTCGGACGGTGGGAAGTGGGCTGAAGTGCTGAAGTGCCTGCAGTGCCGGCGGCGGCGGGGCCGGGCAAGGGGGCGGCTCCAGGGGTGACATGAGGTGAAGAGCGACACCAGACTGTCCGGATAGACCGGCAGATGACCGGTCAGCTTGGCAGACGGTGAGCAGGTTAGCAGGTGAGCAAGTTCTTGCAGATCAAGGATCACCTGTTAAGAAAACCTCCGGCTTTTGTGAAGAAAGCCCTCCAAGGTGTGTGTGTTCGTCCGTCAGTGATGAAATACACCAAGAAAAATGGGAGGTTCCAAAGACCGCGCTGGAATGTGCTGGGAAAAAGGGTTGCATGTGATCCGAGACTCGTCCTAGTTACCTTAGAACTCTTGGATTTGGCATTTTGGATTCCTCAATCTGTCACATCAGTAACCACCGCCCAGAGAACACTCACTAACCACTAACCACTGGCGGGTCATTGAAACATCAATGGACATGATCGTGTCTATTGTGATGGTGCATATCGAAAAACCAATTGCATGAACATGAACAAACATGCCAACGATGTTGCAAGAGGTATGCGCCGTTCTCACCCGGTGTCAGGAGAGATTTACAACTGGGAGGAGCTCGGCTCGGAGCTCGGCTCATCCTTTCGCAGTGATGGGGAGGTCATTTTGAGCGAGTACCAACGCGGCTTGGATGAAATGGAATTCCTTTGGAGCCTACCAACGGGTTGAAGAGAACAGCACAGACTTGTTATATATATATAATTCATGATTTCTTCGTGGTCCACCTGTCCACCTGGTATATAAACAACGAAAACAGAAAGTTTGTAGCAACTTATAGTGCAACTTATATAATTAGAGTTCCTTGATTTTTCGGGTGGCCATGATCGCCTTGTTTCTTTAAGGGCGTTTCTGGATGTGATTTGTATAGCCAAGCAACTTGCATACACTACGGTTGCGGCGGATGGGTGTAGAGCTGCGCGTAGCAGCCAGAATAGGACCGGAGCTAGAATCCCAGAATCAGAAAGCGTTCAACAAATAGATTCACATCTTCCAGTTTGCTGTGTTGATCCAAGTGTAATTATTGGCATCCATCTTCAAAGGGGTCATAGGCAAGCTGCAAGCTGGCCATTTGGCGGCCAGCTGCTTGTGCCATGTATAGGCATATATGGCATACGTGGAGATGTTTGGGTATGACTCTTATGACAATATGGAGGACAAATGACTGGCACGATCGGCCACGTGGCGTCCATGGCTCCGCATGTCGTCGGTCCACCGTGTGCCGATGGGGCCGTCGTGCCTTCTCGCTCCCAATTTTCATCTATGCCGTCCAACTGAGGTGTCTTCCATTCTAGACGGCGTCGTTTTCTCCCTTTTTGGTCTTAAGCATTATTAGTTTGCCCCCTTCTTTGGCGTTCTTTAGGCCACAAAGGATCGGAGAAACCAAGCATGACCTCTCGCTTGGCGGCGACCTCGGCGAACCCCCGACCGACCCCAGGGCACGGCGGCAGCTTCGTGCGGCGCTTGGATGGCGAATTCGCCTTGGCGCTCTTCGACTTCCAACGCCGGGAGCTGATCTTGGCGCGGGAGCGGTCGGTGGGGCCGAGATGACCGAGAGACCGGGCTCTTGCGACTGGCGCGGCGCGGATTTCGCCTGGGCACCCAACAGTCATATATATATATATGTGTTTGGTTGAAGAAGTTCGGAGCTACATCCTGATTGTATTACATTTCTGGAGTTAAGGAGCTGGCACCTGTGATGGATTGGATCGTATGATCTTTCCTTCCGTAGAAACATGTTAAAGCTGTGTTTTGACGGTTTTCACTGAAGACTGAAGACAGACCCAGCTCCTGCTGCTACACGAGACCTTCTACCGCCAAACTGGCCGGTACATACATCTTCTTCATCTCTTCGCATGTTGCAGGTCACGATACAAGACGGGACGGTGTTCCTTCCAGCAGTCACAAAGGAGCACCCCTAACCTCCATAAAGGGACGGCGTCTAGTCTCCAAGTGAGTGGATAATGGGCACCCCTAACCTCCATAAAGCACCCCTTTGTGACTCCTGGTTGGTGTTTTGATCATGTTCTATCCACAATCATGTCACATCACCCCAGGAGGTGTGTGGCGGGTTCTCCCCGCAGGACCCCTTCGGCACGAAGCCCCTTTGGTTCGCTTCCTCCGCCGCTCTGGGGCGCTTTGCCTGCGCCTCCTACCGCTCCGCGCTGGAGCGCTTGGGCTTTGAAGAACAGGCAAGGCGGCGTGTGGCTGGGAATGAGCTGAAATGACTCAATCGCTGATGTCATTGATCCAAACTTTTACAAGTGGAATCAGTCAAGCTAAGAAGCATTCAGACTGATAGATCAACTGAAACCAAAAGATGCCAACATAAAACGAGGGTTTAGTGTCCACTTTTCTAAATCACTGTATAGTATAAGCTTCTTTTAAACGAATTGCCGCACACAAAACAACACGTGTGTCGCGGAATAGCTTTCAGATGCTTTAAGCCTTAAGACGGGTCAGGATATCCATCAAGTCGAGCCCAACACCGCCCTTCACCTGCGCCTGCCTTCGACCGAAGCCGGCGAAGCCGAAGCTCCCGTGGCGACTGGGGAGAGAGAGGGTGGAGCGGGTGGGGTGGGTGTGCGAAGTGGGATGATCCAGGTGGGATGGACATGAAGGATATTGGAGGCGGATGTGTATCATGATCAAAGCAAAGGAACGGGACAAGCGACGAACGAATGGGTTTTCTGGCGCCAACTTGGTGGATGTGTCATGAATTGGCCTGGCTGTGAGTTGCGGGCCATGTGGGGTGATGTTTTGAGGGGGTGAAGATAAGAACGGTGAGGCAAACCTGCGACTGGGCAACGCCAAAGCTCGAAAGGCTGATGTGTGGACATAGTGGGAGCTGGTTCGCCTGTAGGCGCTGTAGGAACCGTTTTCATGCTAGAATGTGCGACGTCAGTATTATTCTTGACCTATACTCTTGACGAACAAGTTCCGCAACAGATTGTGCCGAGTTCTTCCAACAACGGTAGGCATCGGGATACCTTTCGGGATGAAGGGAAAGTCCTACACCATCCTACACCCTTGGCTTGTGTCCCGTTTTCCTTGTCATTGCCTCCTGTCTCAACGCACACACACCCACACACACGCACATAGGTGCATGTGTGTGTAGGTGTGGGTGTTTGTGTACCACGTATTTGTGCTCACCTGGTTAACCTCGAGGTGATCCATCAGGCTGCAGTCTTCGAGTTTGACATGAGACAGCACAAGGCAGACACGAAGGACTGGCAGAAGCTCTTTCTCAAGGCTGGGCTGGTTGGAATCAGATTGATGCCTGCCGATATGATATTTAGCACTGTTCTTGGGGGTGGAGCAACTGAGGCCCACGGAGTCTCTTGGGTATTTCAATGACATGGAAGCCACGTGATCTGGGACCCCATCGACCGGAATCTGCACCGTGATGGGCCCGTTTCGCCTGAATCTAACATGCTTCATCTTCAGACTGAATCTATAGAACTAGGCCACATACCCTCTGAGAAGGTGATTGGAGACACTGTTGTGATGGTTTGGAGGGTCCAAGTACTTTCTGAGAAGGTACGACTGGAACTATGGCTGATGTTGCAGTGCCTTCATTGGAACCTATGGCGGCTTTCTGCTCATTTGGCTGGTGGACCATGGCCCCTGGTTCTAGACTATTTTTCGATTACCAGGACAGCTGGCGAACTCCACGTCCATGATTGGTTGCGGGGAGGGTAAGACAATAAGGAGAGCTATTCTTTTGGGCTATAAACATGCTCCAAACAAAACCGCACCCACTTCAACCTCAAGAGGCCATCCAGAAGCGCGCCGGCTCCACACGCTTTGCGCCCGGCCGCGCCGTGCCGGCCATGTGCTTGAGCGACGGCTATGACAGCGGCTCCATCGCAGTGGCGCTGGGCGAGCTGGGCATCGCGCCGGCGATGTACACGGTGCAAGCACGGGAGGTGGGTGAAGTCCCGTTCAATCCCGTTTCCCCGTTGGTTCGGTGACATCGGGCTTGGTCGGAGAAGCTTCCGGCGTTTTCCGGTCATGTTCGATACACATGGTGGTTTGAGAGCTGGAACGGGAACTTGGACAGTTTGGAACTTGCATTGTTTAAAATTGTTTACAGGGATGGTCTTTGTTCACAACAGATTTCCATGCACCTTCTTATACTTATGGACTTATAGCCCGTTCGTTCCATAGTTCGTCCACTTCCATCCCGCCGTCCAAAAAAGGGCACCGCAAAAGAAAAGGCTTAAGAACAAGCATAGAAAAACCCTACGTCCTCACCGTGCGAACTTCATACACTCGCAGCTCTCCAGGACGTGCGAGTGCTGCTGGCACGCTTGGAAGCGATGCGTGTGCGGCACATGAACGCCTCGTGGAAGCTCACGCAGCTCTCGCAGGAGGAGTTTCAGCGTGAAAAGACCTTCCTTCGCGGCTCGGCGGCACTGAGCGGCCGCCAGCGTCCACACTGGGAGTGATTGGCTTGGGTGTTTGGAAGCCCGGAAAGGGGTCGGAAGGACCAATCCCGAGTCCAGTCAGAGTAAATCTGGTCCGACTGACCTCCTGAAGTCTGGGTTTTGTTGCCTCATGTTGCCTCCCATCTAGAGCTCCTGTATTTCATGAGGTCCAACTGACTGGGAAATGGTTTAGCATGGTTTCGCGATGTTTCGCGTTTGGGGAGGGATCGTTCGCACCTTTTTTCGCCTTCCGTCCCTGGTGACCGCCATGTCGCATCCGAGCATCCAACGTCCGGACATGTACTTGAGTCATGAGCCGCCTTAAGTATGTCTGAATGGGTCAAGACCTTGCAAAACTGATCGCGGCCAAGGGGGAGTCGGCCAACCCTATACCGATACCTTTTCTTGATTGAAAGTAGCTTATAGTGTTTTTGCCTGCGTTGCGAAACACTGGAAACCGATAGGGGCCAACCTAAAATACTTTTGCCATTGGGCGACACCAAGAAGGTTTGTCCGCCGCTCATATAGTGGATTGTATTTCCTACAGATTCAGTATATAATACTATAAAACAAGTATAGACATCTGTTGATTGATATTAACAAATGAATACGACATGATTTTTGTTGATGCTCCGGCTCCCCAAAAATGATCAAGAAAAAACAGTTGCAGGTTGGTTTCTGTGACTTGCCAGTCTGGGGTACCTTCATGGTACGTGGGACCGAACCCTTCGACCCATTCGACGGGGGCGCCGGAATCGAACGGAAACGGCCGGCGACTCAGCTCGCGGCATGACTGGCATAGTCTCACCATGACCCAACACCCCAGAGGTGGTGGGAATGATGGGATGTTCATGAAGCAAATTGTAGCTTGTGCATGCCAGTGCTCAAAATTCTGCAACCACATTGCCTATACACTCCATGGGACTGCCATATATGCCGCCCCGTTGACCACCCAAAACACCCCAACTGATCGGCATATATGGCAGTCCCATGGAGCGTTTGGGTTGGTTTTGATACTGGTTCGTTACTTCCAGAACCTCGCACTGCTGTCGTGCAGGATAGAGGGGGCCATCAGTGTTCTAAAAGATTGTGACAAGGTGAAAACGCTGAGAAGGTCTTCTACAAGCTGCGGCCTGGTTATGCCAATGTGGACGACAAGGCCGGGCCAGATGCCTTGGCCGGGATCATCTCAAGGCAATTGCAATGATATAAGTATATTAGGTTGGAGGCCATTGCCATTAGTAACAAGAAGTTACTAGGTGGAGCCAGGCCATCGCTATTCGGTTGGAGGCCATCGCTACTTAAGAAGCTATTGGGGTTATAGTATGTTGTAATTATGTAATATATAGATAGATGATAGATGCATAGATAGATATATGTATAGTAATGCACCTGGCCCATCCAATGGGTGTCGAATCAACCACCCTAATTACACTATACTTAGGGGTCCCCATTGGACACCCATTGGATGGTCGAGGTCTGCTTCGCACTAGCAGCTAGGTTTTGAAGCTACGATTCTAGGATATGCAGGTGAACACAATCCAGTGCAGCCCTTCACGCTCCCAACATCCCCAGAATCGACTGAGCTTTGATGGAAAGCCAACAGCGACCCCACTCAGCCCCCAGCGACCCCACTCAGACCGGTCACCCCAACCACTGCACCACCCCACCTTGCAAAAAACGGCCCCATGGCCATTTGGCCCACCAAAACACATGCCAATCCCTCAGAACCAAAACGATTCCGCACCTCCACTCTGGACCCCAACAGTCCACCCACCGGCCCCGGCCAGGACCCCATAAATGCCGTTGGTCCCCACATACCGAAGGCGGCAGCATCGGCACTGGGACACATCAATGCCATGGCTCCAATGGCTCCCCCCCAAAAAAAAGGACTCCTCAACAACCAACACCAGCACCAAACACACCCCCTGCACCGCACCGAACTCGCGCGCCACAGGCGGCCGCGGGACTCTCCTGGATCTATCGCCAGGCGGCCCACTTTGGGCAGCGGCTCTTCCTCAGCGGCAGCGGAGCGGACGAAGTCATCAGCGACTACGGCGCGTATGGCGCCCCCTTGGCCACTTGGGTTGAACCTACCCGGTTCACGGGTTCGCGAGTGCGAACCGTGGTTCGTACAGGCGATGCGGGCACAGAGGTCGTTTTGGACGGGATGAACGGAACGGGGGGGGTGTTTTCCAGGGTACGGGCATGATTCAGGGTAAGCTAGGGTGTCGTATGTGTCCGTTGCTTCAGTGAAGTTGTGATGTTTTTCAGAAAGCACGGGGGACCGGGCATGTCTAACAAAGCTGTCATCAACAACAAAAATGGGCTCCTGGCAGGTCGCTCTCAGCAGTTTCTTTGTTTTTTTTTGAGGCGACTGACTGAGTCAGTCCTGCTGATGACCGTGGATGGTCATCAGCACTTTGGAAGTTCAGATTATTCTGATGTAGTAAGTGATGTAGCCTGCCTGTTTGGAAATTTGCAGAATCATGTTCCTGATACACGGCAGCCAGAACTCTGTTCTGTTCAGGTTCTTGGTAAGATTTTTCACCAAGCGTGCTGTGAGAGGACCGACATCTCTTGGTCATTCTATCCTTCCGAGTCGCGGTTCAGGAGTTCCACAGCACGCTGATGGGCCACTTTCCAGAGAACCTGTCGACAGCCTTTCCCTGGTTGAACTTCTACCTGGGAACGCAGCAGGACTACTTGGCGAAGGAAGAGAGCACTGCTGGGGCACATGGAGTGGAGAAGCCTGGAAGTGATGGATGATATTCGTATTTGGCTTGGGAGTTAACACAAATAGGTTGAATTGAATAGTGTATGGCGCTTGTGGTGCTTTGGTACACCGCCATATAACTATAGAGGCTTATAACTTGGGCCTGTAGACTATAGGGTATGGTTGACATATGTTGACATGGCATCCCACAGTGACCCAATCCAATCATCCCAGTTCAGCGCTGGGTGTGGGCTTTGGAAGATTGATAGACCATGTGCACTGCTGCCCATGTACGGATTTACGAATCACCGAATCACCGACCCGTTGAGAGGGGGAAGATCACCCAATGAGGTGTGCACTGCAAGACCTAAGGACCAGATATCCCTTTCTGGATCGATCTCTAGTTCAGGAGCCACGACGCAGTCGCCGCGGGTCGTGGGGGAAAGCGAAAAACCCGTGTCGACCATGGCGACCATGGCTTACCCGGAAGAATCAAGGGGAGACTGACCCAGAACTCTGAGCTGGGTGTGTGGGCGCTTCTTTTGACTGGCGCGACGTTGCTTCGTTCGCGAAATTTCGCTCCCCGAGATTGAAAGGATCCAGCTACCCTCATTCCTGAAGGATTTGGCGGGACTCTTGATGAAGTGCCCGCATTCCTGGCCAATTGGAAGGTGTTACTTGTCCTTTTGCAACGCAATTCAGGAAGTTCATTTGGAAGTTTGGAGGACCAGGTCGGACCCAGGGTGTACCTTTTGTTTGCACGGTTCTTTGTCCAAGCTAGCTGAAGAGGCAAGAATTGACGGTGTTGCAGACAGAATTGGGCACAGTGCCAGGCTTTTTCAGGTTTGCAAAGTGTCATTTGGTGGTGCTTGATGACAAGGTGACAAGACTGAATTGTGATGTGATAGACAAGTATCTCCCCTACAGAATTGTGAAGATCTAGCTCCAGCGCGTTCAATCCCAGCTGCCAGTGGCCTGCCATTGAGAGGAGTTCCTTTGGCTCAGCAATGATGCCAAGAACTCTCTCTACAAAGCACCCATCCATGAGTTCTTGCCACCCGGCAGCATGCGCAGAACCCAAACGCAGCATGCTGACGCACTTGGCTGCCTGGGACCTAAAAGGGCCTAACAGATGGGCAGAACACGGGCACCCCGTCCGCACCCGGAAACGACGAGGTCCTCGTTCGGCACCGTGGTTCTGTCTTTGCACGGGAGGTGCATCGGATGGCGACCGGCGGTGTAGGTGTAGAGCGCCGAACGACGGGCATCCGGGTTGGCCAACCGCGATGTTTGCCGGCACTTGATTTGCGGTATTAGGCACCCAAACCTCGCCTGATTTGATTGTTCGTACCGATTTGGGTTTGGTTCAAAACCACCATCCTCCGTTTGCGGCCTCTTCAGGGCCTCCGAGCAGTTTCCCTTCGTCCCGGGCGTGAAGCGCGGCTTCTCCGCCGACCGGAACCTCGCGGGAAGCTCCGAAGGGCACGACGACGCCGGCGCCGCGCGCGCGCGGCTGTGGGCACGTGCTCGGGCACGCGAGCGTGGAGACGGAGGCGAAGTGGAGACGGCGACGGTGGCTGCGTGTAGCCACCAGTGTGAGGAAGAGGGCTCCTTTAGCTTGGAGGAATTGATGGAGGTGGTGGAGCTGGAGAGTGTGAGGATCAAGGCCTGGAGGTGGGGTGGGGGACGTTTGAAAGTGTGAGCTGTTTGGGGAGGTCAACTTACCAGGGTGATGGGCTCCGGGTCTTTAGGTTTGGACCCACGGCCATATGCTTTGGCAGAGCAATCCTTGTATGTGTTGGAGTTTGCAGTTTCAGCTTGGAATTGTCCTCAAAGGAACGGGCTTGCGGCTTGTATTTCATGGCTCAGCATAGGAGAGAGCAGAATCTATGAGACATGTTGTTCTTTTAAAGAAAAGGCTGGGTTTCATGCTTCAAGAAGATCAAGAAGTGGGTGGCCCATCTTAGGGACCATCCACATGCTGGGGATGTTTTAGTCATCCACACGCACCCTGCCCAAGTCTTCCAGATCATTCAGACTGTTGACTAACAAAACCCCCAAGAGAATTTTGCTCAATCCAAATGAGGCTGTTTCATTCATCGCCGGTCTACCTTCGCCGAAGCCCAAGGACCTCTCCGAAGCCTTGCCGGCGCTACAACGTGCCCGTGCACGGCGCGCGCAGCAAGCACTGCGGCCGCCGTTGTCGTTGGCCGCAGCCAACGGCGTGGAACCGACGCCGGGGGTGGTGATTCTCACGTCGTGCATGGAGGAGAGGCCGTTGGAACAACGTGTTGCAACCGTTGCAACTCTATATATCGATCAATTCAAGTGTTCCATGTTAACAGTTAACTAACAGTGTTCCAATGCAATAGCTCACTGGGATCCGGACATTCTGATTTTCAAGGCCTCTATCGGAGCTGGGGCGGGGGAGGGGGGCGTGAGTCATTTGAGTGCTCAGATTATGGGTTTTTGGGATTCCTGGGAATCTCAAGCCCTGGTTTCGAGACCCAAATGGAACCTGAAGCCCCACTGGTGCTGGATTTGTAGAGGAAAATCATCTTCCAGTCTGGTCCATGCTCATGCCATCAGGTTTCGTGTGGGTCTCTTCCCCGGTGTAGTGCTCACATGCATGGTATCCAGATGATCCACATTTTCCAGAGGTTGGCGTTCAGAGTTTGAGAGTCATGGATGTTGACCATCAAATCATCAAATTATTGTAATTAGGTCAGGTCATACTAGAGCCTAATATCATATAATATATGTACATATATAATTTGTAGTATCACTGTAGTATCCTCATATAGTTACATATATATATATATATGTATGTTAATTTACATAGTTACATTACATATATGTTCTTTGAGATTCTTAAACGCCGCAAAATAATTTACCGTTTCAGCTTATAATATAAACGAGTCGAGTGCCCCTCCTTCCCGGACGGCTCATGGAGAACACTCAACGGCCAGCGACCGCCCAGTTCCAGTAAAGGCGGTTATGTGATCTTCCAACGTTTCTTCTGGAAAAAAACGTCCAGAACGAGGTTTGTGTCACTGTGAGTTAACCTCACCGGCAGGTGTTTTTGGGATTTCTCGGATCCTCTATCCTTCTTAGAATCCACCCAGAATGCTGAGAGAAAAGGGAATTGCGTTGAATCGTCCTCGCCCACGCTCCAGGAGCACTACTTCTTGACCTATTGTGGCCCCTTATTCTCCAGCATTGGAGAGGCCTGCAGATTGCTGCACGCCAGTGGCGTGGCTGTGGGTCACACGCCTCTTTCACTCCTGCACCGCGTTCCGTGCCGCCTTCCCCACCGATCCTCCCTCACTCCTGGCCTCTCCGAATGCAGCGCCGGAGGCATTTCATTCACCCAGCGATGAGTCCAGACCACGCGTTCCGGTGGTGAAGGTCATGGTGGCCACTGCAGGACTGGACGAAGATGGTTTTGTTCGTTTGGTGATCTAGGTTTGAGTCATATGGCATCTTTGTGGTTTGTGAACACCTGATGGACTAATCAATTAGAAACGCACAATGTTATACTGATGTGTTAGACATTCGCTTCAACGGCTTTCGGTGTCCTCCAGCGAATCAGGAGTGTCCACCCCTTTCAGCTTCGCAGTGGGCGTCTTTTTTTCCAGCTTCCGATGCTGGAAATCATGACAAACGGCGCTTCACTCACCAAGATGGCCGGTTCAGCCGCCCAGACCGCGCGCGGTTCCCGCGCGGTTCGGACGAACGCCGAGACCCTGGAGGACTGGCTGCGGCGACCCTGGAGGCGGTAAGCCGAGTGATGCCCTGGGTGGAGTTCGCACCCTTTCAGGAGCCGAGACGTTTCAGGATGTGGTTTTGGGTCGAAACACTTCAGCAAAAGCACAGCAAAAGGTTTGTGGTTTGTTGAATTCCAACTTTTGACAGGGTTGCAGGTCATGTGGTTTTGAAAAAGTCTTAGGAGAGACTTCAACTCTCTACCGTCTAAGACCACTTGAACCATGCTTGAACCCACTGGTACTGGCTTCGGAGCCAGCAGAGGGTGGAGCAGATCTCATCGATGTCTTGCCGTCAGGAACATGAGGAGCAGCTGAGTTCCCACGAGGACCCCACGGAAGGAGAGAATTATCGGCGCTTGACCTATCAGTCACTGAAGCTTCAGCAGTGTCTCGGCCCCGAACCCGCCGTTTCCGCCGTGGGCACCGCGTTTTGGGTGAAGCCGACGCCGCGGGACCCGTCGGCTCAAGAGCACGAACGACCCCGGTGCGTGCGTTCCGCAGACGAAAGCGTCGCCGAGTGCAGGTTCCGCTGGTGGATTGTCATGTTCCGACGACCCGGAAGGGTGTTAGGATGTGTTAGCTGTTAACATGTGTTACGCACCGGTTCCGAGACCCAGATGGGAACCTGCAAACCACTAAACCAGTGGCTTGTAGAGGGAAATGGTTTTTCACAGATCTCATTTCCGAGGGTAACCCTCCTTTCTGGGCCAGTGTTCAACTGGACCAAGTGAGCAGACTGCCTTTTCCCGGGGATGTGGTCATGTTCATTCCTTCCCTTCACATTTGTGGTCTCCTATTGGATCGGTGGATGGGTGCCATCCACCAATCCACCTGCAATGTTGGACAGTCACGAGAGCTGAATGATTTGGTGGTTTGGACGCGAAACAACCCAGAAAAGAACCTAGATTCCACTGATGCGACTGATTCAGCGTACCTATACAGGCGGCCCCTCATCATCGTCTTTCCTCATCAGGTACCTCTTGCTCTGGCAGACCCGCATCCTTCCACTGAAAGAGGTGGCCTTCGTGCTGTGCATGGACTCGGACATGGTCGTGGCCTCCCGGAAGATGTCCGCGACGTCGCCGGCGCCGAGGGCGTGGGACATCGTGGGACTGGAGGGAGCGAGGTGTTGGACGCAGGATGACGCAGGTGATCGCAGGTGTGTTGATGATATGTCATACTAGTAGTTCACCCACCCAAGCTGGAGCTGACCGACCTGGAGAAAGAGGAGTAGACTCCTTAAATATCTTTAATATCTCTATAGAATTCTATCTGTAGATTGGGATGGTGCGACCAATAGACCAGGGGACGGCTGTTTGAGAGGTGCATCCCTCGAAGTTGGCCATTGCAACAATCCCTTTCCACATGTTCTCAATGCCCTCCAAGTCCGCTTCTTCGGTGAGCCTTAGAAACGCGCAGAGTAGGCGCTGAAACCGATGGCCCAGCCTTAGAACGAACTCGAATGGCCCCACCTGACGCTCAGATGCTCATTGGCATGGGAAAATCTTCATTGCCAAGCTGATACCGTGTTCCCATTTTTCGAACAGAAACCCTTGCGGGAAAAAGAGCCATCCTAAACAGCAAGATGGAGAAAGAAAAACTGATGTGATGTGTGTCATTTGAGGGACTGGATGACTGGATAGATGAATGCTCCCCGCAGATTCACATGAGAAAAACTCCCATGGACCATGTTCCACTTCCATGTTAGTGAGTAAAGGTGTAGATGGACTATAGACTGGGTCATTGAGTTTGTCCTGTTAGCTGTCACAGTCAGTAAACAAGAACCTCACTATTTTGAGAGATGTGGGCCTTGAACCTAACCATCATCATCCGCTGAAACCTGGATGGACCGGATAGACCCAACATACACAGGTTCATGTTTGAAGTGTTCGCCAGGCTGGACATGTTGGACACCGTGTGTGGTGCCACTCATCCCTTGAGGCCAAGCCTTTCATGCACGTCTTCGAGCTCTTGCAGCAGCTGCTGGGTCTGGAGAAACTTCGGCGCGGCGCGACCGGGGTCGCTCCAGAGGATGTCCTCGGAGGTCCTCCAAGCACATGCTAGAAATCGGAGCTACTAGGCTACTAGTAGCAATTGGACATCCAAGCACATACACGCACGTGCTATATGGAAGACGCTAGAGAGCGCAGATCCTGAACCAGGAAGAAGACGATCTTCACCTGCGAGGGAAAGGCACATATATACATTCATATTCATCGTATTTCATGAGGGTGGAAGACTACATACAAGGTGACTGTTTCGTTCATGTAGATGTTTCCTTATGTATGTACAGTAATAAACCAATCCATTGATTGAAAATGATTAACCCATGCAGAAGAAGATGCTTTGCAAAACAGCGGTGTCAGCCGGTGTTCAGTTCAGACTCGCCACTGAGTGCAATAGACTGGCTAGAGGAACCCTAGTGTCGCTACTGGGCAGAGGGTTGTCCCCTAGGAATTCTGATAAAGTCTTGGTATGTAAGTGCCCTCCTGCGAGAGTTTTTCCCCAAAGATAGTGCAACAGACCCGCAAGCGGTGTGATCACACCCCAGTGTGGCCCCCACTCCTATTTGTCATCGGATCTGTGGGCCCCCTCACCATGAGGACGCTTGAGAAATCAACCAAAAGCTGGTCTGCTCTGCAGACATGTCCACTTCTTCTTCTTCTTCTTCTTCTTCCACCTGGGGCGATCTGCCCATCCGGGCCAGGGCACTCTTGTTTCGGAAGCACGCCGGGACCTAGGCGGCAAGTGGACATCGCCTTCAGTTACTACGACGGCACCCGGGAGGTGCCCTGGGGCTCCACTGAGGAGCTGGCGTTCACCAAGAAGCCTCTTGGGCGAGGTACTGAGGATCCTGGAGCCTGTGGGTGCTTAGGTGTTAGGTACCCAGCCGGCGGTCTAGAATCCTGGGGGGGATCCTGGATGGAGCGAGTGTTCGGACATGGAGAGGTGCTTCTGAACCATGGGTTCTTTGGGCTGAGCAGGGATGGAGCCGTTCTTTCGGAACAACAAAGCTGAGTGATCCATACCAGAAAAGAGTTCAATCACAACCACTACTCAGCAACCACTCTGCTGGAGTGGGCTTATACAACCCCACTCCTGCATAGTGAGAATGAATCATGATGTGACGATGATGAGGGTGATGGTATACGACATACGAGGTAGTTCGGCATTCTGGGGCATACTTTGTGTCGTAACCAGCAAAAATGTTGAGGCACTGCATGAGGCATACTAATACTGGCCATTTCGGACACGTCACTGAATTCCAACTGATCCTTGAACCGCAGAAACGTCCAGTCTGGCTCTCAGCCGCCGCCTCCGCGGTCTCCGTCCGGGCCGAGATCGCGGCCGACGTGCGGAAGTCGCCGAGGAAAGGCTACGTGCGCCTGCAGGGTGGCCTCCTCATCATGCGAAATAGCCTGGATGCGTTGCAATGGTTTGCCACATGGGCTGCTTGGAGGATTTGGCAAGCATGGAGCATGTGGTTTTCCACATGTTTTTCACCGTTTACATACTGCCAGACTCTACTAGGTGAACGTTGGGACATCGGAGACACCATCTGAGACGCTCAATCAGATGCTTTCTATCCGCACCGCACCCCTCCAATTTGGATGGAAAGGATATGACCATATCAACCAGGCTTTGATAGCATCATTTCTGTCACATGACCTACTCAACAGAAGTGGATAACCTCCAACAGAAGTTGAAGGACCCTAGTTCGACTTATCCCAGTTCGGTGCCCCAGTAGGTGACAGGTCCCTTTATTTCAGGTCACTAAGATACCTCCCTTGGCTTGGATCACCTTTTTCAGGGAGCTTGCCAAGTCACAAGATTGGTTTGATTGGGTGTACACACGAGGGCACATGATGGCACTGGCACCCAAGATGGGTGTTTTTCAGATGGGGGTCGATATACTGTATAATATGTACCAACTCTTCAAACTTGTTCCATCTACTCTTGAAACCATTGTACTTAACCAATGATCGAAAAGAAGTCCAGCGCACGTGCTTCGCCAAGAAGAGCCTGACAGAAGTGACGCTCTTCCACAACGAGAACGAGAACGATCTAGGTCAGCGATGGCGAGATTTGCTGGAAGAATTCAAAGGCAGGGAGATGATTGAGATGAGTCAAGATGATGATTTCAATGGATTTTGAGATTATTAATTCAATAGGTCATTTGCTGGAGGAGATCCAGATGAGGAATGAATGGTGTTTATCATTCGATCATATTCGACACCTTGTCAGACGACAACCTAGGATTTTCTACAGGCCCTAGCAAAGCGATAACGGAGTCCTGTGTGGAAGCCCAAGGGCACCAGCCATCTCAGCCCAAATGTACCGGAACTCTTTGCACACCTATCAGGGTGATGCTCACGGCTGCCCCAACAGTGGAAAACCGATGCAAAACTACTGGCTGTATGGTGCCCATTCATTCGCCATCAAGCTGACAGTTCGATACAAGGTCCAGACCAAAACCTTGGTCTGACGGACCGGCAGTCACAAGTTTGCAGAGGTGGATAGTGACCTGAACTAGGACCCGTCACCTGGGGTACCGGACTGGGATAACCTAGTTCGGGTTCTTCAACCTCTGGTGGATCCACCAGCTGCCGTCGCCTCAGCTGATGGACCTCTCTCGAGACAACACACGTACGGAGGCCCTTCCCAAGCAGCGCTGGCTTTTCTGTTGACACAGGGCGAGGTAGAGAAGGTCATGCAGCTTGGCCAGTGTTTTTGCGACCCAGTCGACCCGGATTCTTCCTCGGTCGACGGAAAAAAGAGAACCCATCCGATGTACACGCTGATCACCGTCAGCAGTCCTGGCGGATCCTTGCGGTTGCCTCACTTCATCCCGCGGATCCGCCATCCGCCGGATCCACCCTGGGTGGGTCAACGAATCAGAGAGAAGTCACTCATCAACGAATTCGTTGTCGCACTGGCGGAGGTTCCACTGAGTCTTTGGTGATCCATCAGGATCCATCAGGGTGATCGGCTCCTCTTTGAAGACCGGTGGTGAACAGGTGAAGCTTGTGGGTTTTCCTGCTGAAAACCGATGGCCTGGACATCTCGTCACATGAAATCGATGATCCGATCGATTCAACTGGACTGGACACGGGCTTCAAGAGTCATTGGGACAAGAGTCTTCAAAACAGATGCTGCATAAAGATATGTAAAGATACCGCGACTCCTGTCATTGTTGGGGGATTTTTGGAGCTCGGCTGTGTTGGACACAATTTTTGCAATACACTCTACAAGCCGCAACTTGCAACACCTGCCTCTTAGACAAGGATTCGTATCACGCAGCAGGCTCAAAGGTTTGCGCGAACTTGCGCTGCTCCTCCTTGAGACAGCTGCACATTCGACTCTCAACCGAACTCCTGAAAAAAGTGCGGTAACAAGACACGAACGTAGCTCCTGGCATCAGAGAGAGAGAGAGAGAGCCAGGTCCGCTCCAAACGTCCGCTCCGCCGCCCGGTACGACCCGGGTGACCCGGCCGATCCCAGGAAGGATGCAGCGACCTGCTGCAGCTCCTTGCGAAGCATCGAGCCCCTTGGATCGAGCAGCCACCGAGCCAAAGCACCCGCGGAGGAGGGAAATCAGTTGGAAGCTTAGGAGCTTTGGTTTTGGTTGTGGTTTGGCAAGTGAAAGAATCTGGTCCAATGAGCGTGAAGAAGTTGATCAGGTATGACGGTATGATCCAGTTTTCACTTCCGAATCAATTCTGAGGGGTGGTTCAAAAAGGCTTGGCTTGGAAGATCAAGGCAGATCCCGCTTTTCACCTGGAGAGAGAGAGAGAGAGAGACACGGACTCCACTGCCCCACAAACTACACCGTTTTGTCCAGGAACTTCTATAACCTGCTATAGGTTGGTTGAAGGGAATATCTACAAACCATGGCTTTCACTCCAAGACTATGGGTGTCCTGCAGATGTTTAATCAACCAATTCTGTGAGTTGGGTATAACATGGTATAACATTATACAAACCAGCCTCCTGTCTTTTGGAGGCTTGTGTCAGAATCACTGATCCCCCAGACTCATCTATAAGAGCCTTAAACCTCCTCACTTCTTGGACTGCAGGGCCCCTTCACTCTTCCAAATAGGCCCAGACACGACCCGTCTGGGACTGCCAGGACGGACTGGCGCCCCATTGACCACCCCAAGCACCCGGTCGGCCGTTTCTCGGCAGTCCGTCCTGGCAGTCCCATGCGTCGCGTCAGGGAGGGCGATCCATTTGGGGCTCGGCACTGAGGTTGGAATCCCTGCGACCCGGGGGCGAGAACTTTCGCGTGACGATGATGGGCCGCTTGGACGGGGTGTTCCCCCACCGTGGTGAACGGCCCCGACGTTCCGCGGAACACATCGCATGGAACGCGGAAAACCACCCGCGTTTGTAAAGGAAAAGGCTCTTCCAAAAGGCCCATGTTCCACTTCCATGTGATGTGTTCGTCAGAGTGTACACAGCGGAGAAGCTCGTGTTGTTTGGGCTGGGATGAATTGAAGTGTTCTGGGGAACCCAGAACATGAGCTCGCTGATAGGCTACCCACGACTGATTGTCGGTGAAAAACGTGGAATTCTGCAGTGTCAGCCACCGACTGCGTGGAGATACCTCCCAAAGCCGATCCAACAATGAGATACCTCCCACCAACCAAACCCGCACATCAGACGAATACCCACTAATGGCAGTAGATCACCATAGATCACGCAAGACATATTCCAGCCCTCCAAGAGTTGAGATTTACAGGCCAACCACCAGAAAATGCGGCCTAGCAGCCAAGCATCTCCTTGAAGAAGTGAAGGCTTGGTGAAGGCGGTGTGCCAACTGAGGTCTTCCAACTCAGTACCTGAAGCTTGGCAGACGCATCACATGACGAGCCCGGGACGTGGAGACTGAGACAAGCCTTCGGCTTTGGCCGTGAGCAGCAGAGGAGCTGACACCATAGGCTTCTATGGTTCTAAGACTTCAAGGATAATGGACCTGAGCTGTACGCAGCAGCTGCAGCACATGTCTGTTAGGTTTGGAGGGGATGCTCGCTTTAAGCCTTCTATTTCCAGACTTGTGTCATCCTCACATTCCCCATGACATCCATGACCAATTTGGAGACCCGTAAGACTCAAAAGACTGCCATGCTCCCACACCCGTGGTTGTGAAGGTTCATGTCTTTTGACCTGGCGGGTCAGCAAAGTTGCGGTGTCCAGACGTTTCAGGTGCTTCATTTGGAGTGGATCTTTGGTGACTGTCGGTGTGGCCCTGGCACATGGTGTCTTTGATGAAAAATCCACCAAAAAAAGCACTGAAAATCATGCACTCCATTCGTGCCAAAGACATGGTTGGGTACTGTAATAGTGGTGCCATGTGGTGGCGAAAACGTCTCAGGACCAAGTTGAACCCCCGAGTCAGTTGTTCTGCAACCGTATTGTCGGGTGTTTGGTAGCAGGCTGGTGCCTTGGTTTCTTCTTGCGTTTGGTGACTGAACTGCACCGCTGAAGCTTCCCAATTCACAAAGACACCCGCGCTTGGGTGACTTGGGTTGCCCCGTTTCCCCTTCAAGAGTCTCCCACTGGACTTCCCCCATTGGACCTATAGGGTTGACAATCCACATGCTACGCCAGCTTGCAGTCGGAATAGCGTCCTCCAACTTCAGTGGGTACATGTCGCATCTCCAACCAGGCACAACAACAACAAAAACAACAATGAAAAGAGGTGTTCATCCATCCAAACCCAGGTCTTAAGATGATTTGACCACTCCCATCCATAGCTGCCAAGCTCATGCTTTGCACAGGAACGACGCGGAGTCGACCGCGGACGGACTCTTGCCCCAGACGGCGCACATCGTCCATCTCAAAGGCCGTGTGCCGAACCGACCGGACTCGGTGACGTCTGGAGAATCGACTTGGACGACGAACGGGGGCGAAGCATGGGATTTCTGCGGAGTCCTTTGCACTATCAAAAGGCATGGTCTGACAAGTTCGGTGACCCCGAGTCAAGACATGTCCGTTACTTCAGTCGAAATATGGACTTCTATGTAGGGTGGAGGTTGGTTGGCATGTCAATGGCGGGTCAGCGGGGGGTCCGCGGGTCTCCAGACCGTCTGTCGCGTCGTGTGGTCGGTTTCGTTGGTCGGCGAAACTGGAGGTTTCGGCCATGGGATCCTGAAAGAGTGTGGGCAACTGGGAGTGGTGCCTTTTGAGAGCATTTGGGACGGCCAAGAAGGTCAGACGGTCAGATTCAATCCACGAAGGTCAGACGGTCACATGGATTTATTGAAAGTCGTATCGGTGGGTTGTGCGTGTGATGAGAATTGAGTTCCGCATAAGATCGCATAATCATGGCCCATGGCTTTCTCAAAGTTGTGTCATGTCCCACTTTTTGGCAGCCCGCTGCGGTGTAAATGCTGATTATTAGATTTCTTTGGAAATACTAAAGCCACTTGTCCTTTCTTTACTGGCACCCATAGCGGCACCCAAACAGAAAGAAACATATTCCAATTTTGGATCTATAGTGGGGGGTCACTGTACATAGAAGTGTTGGCGAGGTGCTTTTCCAAATCCATGTTCTGTCGGTGTCTCAATCCTCCAGCATGCTCAAGCCAATGGCTGGAGCTGCCGCTGATCCCTTCAGTTGATTCGGTGCTTCAAGCAAATCAACTGAGAGAGGTGCCCAGAAACCATCAGAACCAACTCTTGTGACGACTCCACCAACTCTTGTGACTTCTGACCACGTCCTGGAAGATGTTGATGGTTTCTTCTGAGCATGTCCTGGAAGCTCCAAATGGCATCACCGATGGTTTCTGGCATCACCTGGCTGCGCCAGGCACTTGGTGGCGCAATGTTTTGCCTGAAGGCCGATGTCACCAGGGTGAAAGGGTCAGGTGATGTGACTGTACACATGCCAATTTTTGCCAGTTCATGTGATGTTTCCGGATGCTTTGACGAAGTCATCCCTTTGATTGTCATGAATCTCTTCTAGATGTTCGGTTGTTGCTGTTGTTAGCATTGAGGTTTGAAAAGATTTGGTTGATCTTTTTCGGTGGGCCCAAAACGCTTCAAACATATTCAATCAGTTTTGTAGATGGAAATCACTTTTCTACTGTAATCATTCTCTATTTGTTTGAAGGTCATGAATGATTCATGTAGCCAGATGTTGGAAAGAAGTTGCGAACCATGCCCGGATCACTTCGATCCAACGTGGCGTTCTTCCCAAAACCTAAGAACAGATGCCTGGTTTTGGCTCATCGGGCGATGTTACACAACTCTTCGATGGAAAGATATCCTCTTCGAAAGATACCCGCTGACGAACACATCACATGGAAGTGGAAAATATTGGAACATGATTCCTTGAAGACTGCTTGAAGACTACTAATTACTTTCCTTTGCCCAAACACAGGGAGTTGCCCACTTCCATGTGATGTGGGCGTCGGAGTGGGCCGCAGAACTCGCACCTCTTCGTTCACCCGGTTCCGGGGCGTCGCCGGCGGTTTAGCATCCGTGTGGTGTCCAAAAGGTCTCAGGCGGAAGAAAAGGACGGAAGGAGGGAAGGAAGGAAGGAAGGAGGGCTGGAGATGAATGGACATGAACCATTTCATAAATGGATCCTATAGGGCAATTCATTACAGAAAGGGAGGCAGCTGCCCTCAGCCACCCTGCGAACTCGTCGCATTTGCTCTTAGAGTCGTTTGCTCCAGCTCGACGGGGAGAAGAGGTCTTCCCAAAGTGATTTACCCATTCGATCCAATTCGTACCCCCAAAAGAAACAAGTTGGAATGGGTTCAGTTGGGTTCAGGGCTTAGATATACTCTCCTGGAATTAACATGGAAGTGGAAAACCACCTGTTTGTAGAGGAAAATTGTCTTCCAAGGGGCCATTTTCCACTTCCATGTGAGTTCCAGAGAGTGTACCTGAAACATCTCCCTGAATCTTTGGAATCAGACCGAGCAGACCATTCCAGACCGTTTTTCCTTCGCTCTAGGCCGCCGAGAGATCACGACGCCGACGCGGTCGTTTGCGTGGAATTGGCAAGCCTTCGAGCTGTCGCTCGGTGGGTTATCCTGGGTGAACGCGATGAAGGGGGGATGAACCTAACGTGCGTTGGGCGGCCCAGGTGCTTAAAGGGTATTGGCTCAGATGCCACATGATGGGTGTTGGTTCATTTGGTAGCAATGATGGGACTGGTTGTTTGGTCGTTCTCGACTGGGATTGATTCACTGGGCAGGTTTTGGTCCACCGGGGCCTGGTTTAATCACCCTATCAGCATGAGAGCACGCCAGCAGCCATTGATCACCAACTGAAGAGGAGCAAGCCAAAAGGAGGTCAGGTCCCAAGCACCCTCCATACACATATTCGGAGAAACGGTTGCCATTGCCCGCGAACCTTGAGCCCTGATTTAAACCAGACACTGTTTGGGCACGAGAATGTTGCGAGGCCAGATGTGGGTACTACTATTTTTCCTTCAATTCAATAGTAATTATATATAGTGTATAGGCAGGCGGAGTGTGGTTCTGAAAGCGTTGCACCCCCAGAATCTGCACCAAATTCACCAACTCCAGTGGCAATGGCAAACCTCGAAGTGTACCAAATGCTGTGTATTATTGATCCGCTTTCTCGGCATCCAATGATGCATCCTTCACCCTGTCCCGCTCAGGTGGCATCATCACTATGCGCCTGGGACAGCCTGAAAACACGTCAGCGGTGCTGTCCGCAGCCGTGGTGCGGACTGATCGGAGTTCCCTCGTCAGTGGGGGAGAAAACCCCTGTGGTCCCGTCAAGAGAACATGGAGGCGGACACTGGGCCTAAATCGGTTACATGGATTGTGGTGTTCACCATGTCGAACTGCTGTTCAAAGTCATGTGGCCGGGCCAAACCAGGGTCACCCAAGTGGAAAGCCAACCAAGAAGGAGAGAAGGGAAGAAAGCGATTCCTATACCAGGACACCCAGACAGGCAAACGCTCACTTCTTTTCCAGATCTAGAACCTCTTGACATCATAACCCATTTTAAAAAAAGAACTGTAGAAGCTCTTGACATCATAACCCATAAAAAGGAAAAAAAAAAACATTTGAATTGAATGAACCTTTTCATAGTCCTCTTCGGAGGGGCTACCTTCCATGCACGAGTCTTCGATGCAGAAGCCAGTTCTTCCTCTCGGCCAGTTCTTTGGATCAGCTCAGGTCCATTTCCTCCGGCTCCTTCGAGATGGTTGGGGGCCCAAATGACGTGAAGAAGCCAAAAAGCCAAGCGGCAAGCTTAAGCCTGGGCCATGAAACGAGCATGTTTCAGTGGAACATGGAGCATCGCTCGAAACATCCTTCGATCGAAACCAACATTGGATGAAACGGACGAGCTGTGGGCTTGCCCAGTTCGAGGTCGTCCAGACGTGGCACCTATGAAACGGACATGTCGAAGAATGGCCAAACCAAGCTCCTAAGGCTGTTTCCCCCAGCTACGGCAGCAATACTGGGTTCTTTAAATGTTTGCTAGGGATTGTGATTATCACGGACCACCTCGGATCAGTGAATTCAGTTCGATCCAGTGGTGGTCACAGCATGGCATTCCATGAATTGCAAAGGTCTATGGGGGAATCTGTAGGATTCCAATCTCACAAACGTCCAGAGCACTACGTCCGACGTGTCCAAAACTCCTTGCAGTCCCACCTGCCTCACTCCGGGGAGCTCCAGGTGGCTTCGAGGTCTACTGATCCCTGGAGCGAGTTCCGCCACGGTGCGGAACGAAGAACGAAGAACGCGGAAGGAGCGCGGCAGTGAAGTGTTCCGCTGCACGTGAAGAAGCTGAAGAAGGCACCCAGGGGAGGTTCAGGCATCCTGAGGCCCAGAAACAGTTCAGTCAGCAAGTCATGTCATCCAAGATCACCCAAACGAAGCTCGGAAGATCTTGGAAGCCTTGAATCCCACGAGATCGCGGCTTCGTTTGGCTTTGTGGTAAGCCGATGAAAGAGGATGGTGTTTACATGCCCCGCCGTCCCCAAATCTGCCACCGCCTGGCAGATCCTGTGCGACTGCAGATCCTGCGGAAGCTGGAGATGGCGGGGCAATGACCGCCAAAAGGACGGTGGCAGACGGGCAGATGGCAGGGTGCACGATGCTTGGCACTGCTTGGAGGTCGCTGCTCACAGTTAGTTGAGCTTCAACAAAGGTGACCATAACGAATCTGCGTGAGGCGTGGGGTTTTGGACCGGTATAGAGGATGGTAGAGGCGTTGTTTGTTGGATTTACTCCACCCAGACGCTCATGGACCCTCCTAAGTAGGGTCCAGACCCTCAAATAGGGTTTTTAGGGTTTTGAGGGAGTCGGGCGTCATTCACGGAGCGTTTGGGCATGCAAGATTTGGACCACCGTGTTTGTCACGCTCAGGCACCTCGCGGGTGGATTCCGAAAAACCGTTGGGACAGCTTCTCAGTCGGAACTTCCGCGAGGTTCCTGAGTGCTGGGGGGAGAAGGACTGGAGGAGAACATGATGGCCGGAAGAGCAGGTGATGACGGGGGCATCTTAGACCGGATGACAGGTCCAGGTGGAATTTGGATGAATTTCGGATCAAGACAGATGGCAGAAGCAAAAGACATGGGATGCATCAGATGGAACAGACATGTTGTAAGAAGAATTGCCATGGTTGCTTTCCAAGATCTAAGGCTCAGTCAGGAACAGAGACGGTTAATGCACTTGACTGCACTGTACTGCACTACAATTGGAGAAACGTGCTGAAAGACCTCAGGCCAAGGCCAAGGCTATATATATATATATTCCTCTTCATTGTGTTTCTTGTGTATGCCGGGTGGTGCAGTCAAAGTAACCACCTAGCACATGCTGCACATCACAGGCGCTAGAATGGAGCACACCCTCTGCCAATGAAGACGAAAGCAGCTGGAAACATCACTGAGCTAGCAGAGCTGACAGTCTTACAAACAAGAACATCACCCTCCAACTAGGTTCAGATGATTTTCCTTGATCAGGGCCCGATCTGGGTGGGCATGGCTCTCAGCGCATGCTCTTCAGCTGTTCCTGCAAATGCTGCAAGGGTACCTTCTTTGGGTTGTAGTTGAAGGTGCTGTTGAGAATCGTGTTTCCAGTTCTTGCTTTTCAGCAGGGCACAGCCCCTCCAAAAATTACAAATCTTAAGTGTTCGACTCAACAGGCTTCAGAAAACCAGGTGGACCAACATCCAGACACCTTGGCCATTCCTGCGCCCGGACGTCCGCAGCCATGAACGGGCCATCCGCGAGGGCTTTGCGTGAGGCGGGGGCGGTCGAAGTGGAGAGGTCCTCCAGTGTGCGAGCGCCGCATCGAATGGGCAGTTGGGCATTCTCTCTTGGCATATCTTTATCCAAGTTCATCGAGCACTATACTGACTATATACTATGCTATACTATTATACTGTTATACATACTACTATGTATACTATTATATATACTATGTGTTTATGTTCCAGTACTTTATAGGTTGGGATTGATGGGGTGCATCGTTGCTTTGAATGGATCCGTTCCCGATCCAACTCCGCAAACAAAAACGGTCCACAGTGTAGGTATCGGTACATCCAACTTTTGGAGCGCCTGCGCCAAGCGCCGCTCCACCTATTCTTCATATGGTGGAAAACCAGCTTCTTCAGTACGTGACCTTTTGGAGGTTCCTGTTTGTGACCCAAACAGGAGGCTTGTTCGTGACTGAACCAACCAGGTGATCAAGTTCGGTCACGAACTGAAGAACCAGGTATATGCCTACATTGACCCCCAAAACCACCCCAATGTAGGCATACATGGAGTGTCTGGGTATGGTGTTGTTAGGTGGTTTTGTGTCATGGTTGTTTCACTTCTGATCCTGAGATGGGACACTGGAGGCTCAAAAAGAAGCCCCCCCTACCTGGAAGCTCCTTCGAAGGTCGGGTTTGGGACCATGTGGGGTCCCTACACTTGGAGTTCAACATGCTTTAAAACCACCAATAGCCTCCAAGCATCTCCAAGCTAAATGTTTGGGCAGGAAACCTTTGGGGAAACCAGATCTCGATGCTGTCCATCCGATGGGTCAAGATCGACCCTGGGGGTCTGCGAGACATTCATGGCTCCGGCAGACATGGCTGCGAAGACGAAGAAGGAAATGGCCCAATGGAGGAAAAACCGCATGGAACGTGTCCCCAAAAGGTGGGAATGTGGGATTGGAAGCCGTAGGTCGTATGAGCCCCTCGAACGAACGAACTGGCTTGCCAGGCATGATGTTTGGCCAATGAAATTCTTGTTGTGTCCCGCGATGGTGAAAAACATTGCGCCAAACCATTGCACCAAACATCGCTCCAACCTGCAAAACGAGCCACCTGGTCCGGTTTCGCCCCCAGAAACCCCCCCAACCGACGACCGAGCTTTAGCGCTGCTTTGCCGCTTTGGCGCCGCTCAGGGTGGGATGGGAGGGTCGATCCCCTACAAGACTGGAGTGACGCTGGGGAGCTCAGTGGTGCGTGGGCACACGTGTGGCCACAAGGGGTGGAGGTTGAGATAGGTTGGGTGGAGTGAGGTAAGGAAGTTCAAGAGCGATCCCTTCTTTTGGGGGGTACTGATCGTTTGATGTTTGATGGGTCTCCTCGAGTTGGACCCCCTTTCTGAAGTGTTAACCTGTATGATCCTGTATGCCTGTATGTCGACCACGGTTTTGGATTTCTTGCGCGTGAACATACTTGCTGCACTGCTCATGCCCCTTGCTTCAGCAAGGTTGAAGTATCTTGAAGGTTGAATGTGTTTAAATCACACAACGGGGAAGACGCTTGGCGAGTCAGTTTCAGGCACAAAGTACAGAGATTTGCATTGATTATCAGTCCAGCGGCCAGGCATCAGAGCACTCCTTACTTTAGCCATCCTGTGCCGTCCAGTTGACTGGTGATGAGACTTCGATAGAATCAAAGAACGTCTTGATGGTTGCTATCTTGGACCCATGCTTTCCGGGGGAGCCTTAACATAGATAAATAGACGATGAGAATCACCCATTGACATGCAGAGCGGGTGCAACGCCACGAGAATGTTAAAGACTTCAGCTTGTGTGAAGATCCTCTCACATCCTGTGCACAGTGTGGGAGAGTTTGATGGTGGGTTTGGGGGCAAACGCCACTTCGTGTCACTGTAAGAGCTTGGAGGGAATTCACCTATAGCATGTCACAGCCCTTTGGGGGGTCCGATCTTTCCATTATGTTCTTGGAATCTGCTCTTTGAAGCCCATTGCTGCCATGTATGCTTTATGACCTGCAGCTAAAAACAATGACAACAAGGTTCCTGCATGGCAATCTCTAGGACATCCAGGTCCGGATTCCCCGCCACAAAAATCAGCGCCATTTCTCAACCCAGAGTTCCCCACCAAAACAACCCAGTTGAGTTTGCCCTGCAAGAAGCCCCCACCGCAGCCTCTCGCTCTTCAACGCCTTGGGTCCAGCCCTGCAAGCAAGTCCCTTGCAGAGGATGCCGGACTCACTTCCACGCGGGCGTTACGAAGCCTCAGGCTCTATGTGAAGCCCAAAGATGGCGGCCCCGTGCCCAAGGACTGGCTCCGCAAGACGACCCTGCAGGCGGGTCGCTCGACCGACCCGAGACGTCGCAGCGCTCGTCGGACCTACGTCTGAGACCGGGGGGAGCGACGTCTCAGACGGTCTTTGGCGCCTGAGGGTGGATTTCCTTTGGCCTGGATGATTTGGCCTGACAGGACGCATCCTGTCAGGCATGGTATTTGCATGGTAAAACTGAACTGTATGTGGACACATACAGTTCCTTGCATATATACAGTTCCATGCCATTTGGTTTGTCAGGCATGGTATTTGGTTCCTTGGATTTGCGTAAGAAAAGGATGGGGGGACATGTTGGTGCCTTTCGCAGCGCAGAAGGCGGCAGTCCCAATGGACTCTTTTTTCTCGCACCACTTCTACACGGAGGGGTATTTATTTTTGTTTTTTTTTTGTTTCTTTTTTGGATGTTTTTTGTTTTTCGTGGCTTCTGGCTTCTGGCTTTTGTGGCTTTCGTGGCTTCTGTGGCTTTTGGCTTTTGTGGCTTTTGGCTTTTTGGCCTATCCATCTATCTGTTTGTACCTATCTATTTATCTATCTTTCTTTCTTTCTTTTGGCAGCTGTTCTCCTTTCTCTTTTTGTATTTGCTTTTCCGGTTGTTTTCGTTGCAGAGACGAAACCAAACAAGGAAGCAAGCAAGCAAGCAAGCACGAGCTGCTCACCTTTGGATCTGGTGTGCTGCTGGGGGGGGCGCCGCCCCCCCCCCCCACCCCCCCCCGCGCCACGAAATCTGCACTTCATCCCCGACACCCGTGCCTGCCACGAAAGCAATATTTTAAGGTGAACTCCCCGGTGCAAAACTTTCTAACCAAGCAAATATGCCTCCTCTATCCATCTATCTATCTTATCTAATCTAATCTAATCTATCTATCTATCCATTTATCTTTCTATCTTTCTGCAGTTCAACATCCACAAAGTACTGCACCTGCCACGAAAGCTGCACTTCAAGGTCCACAAAGTCTTGCGCCTGCCACGAAATCTGCACTCCAAGGCCCACAAAGTCCTGCACCTGCCACCAACTCTACACTTCCACACCCACAAAGTCCTGCATCTGCCACGAAATCTGCACTTCAAGGTCCACAAAGTCCTGCGCCTGCCACAAACTCTGCACTCCAAGGCCCACAAAGTCCTGCACCTGCCACGAAATGTGCTTTGCAAGGTCCACAAAGTACTGCACCTGCCACGAAACACGAAAAACAAAAAAATCAAAAAAACGAAAAAATATACAGAAATAAATTCGCAACCCTTCTACACCGACAAGTGGCTGAAAACCGTGCTTGTCCAAACCATCCCTAGGGCTCCAAGTACCTCCTCAGAAGGTACTTGGACCCTCTAAACCTAGGGCATGTGAACACGCCAGTTTTTGTTCGGCCTCCGTCCAGGCCTCGCTCTCAGACTCCAGTTGACGGCCTCCACAGCGCCCCCACTGACATGTTCTTTTTGATTGTAGACACGACATGGGACTGCCGTAGGGCTGCCGCCCCGTTGACCCCCCAGTCAACCACCCCTAGCCTGATCGGCGGTCCTATGGCAGTCCCATTAGTCGTGTCTGGGTTCTACATGACCGGTTTCGTTTGGGGCCACTCTGCAGTCCTGCTATGCTGCCCCATCTCATGCGCGTATGACGACTTGACCAGTGGGATTCGCACCTTGGGAAGCTTCCTGCGATCGGAGTCGGCCGACCCAGTCGGTCTGACGTCGCCGGTCGACCAGTCGAGGCGCCCTTCGGCGACTTTGGGCAAATCTTGCGCATCGACGTGTCCGAGCGCCTTGGGCGCTGGAGGGAGGGACACAGTCGAGGGGCGCTGGGGTGGGAGGTCACGCGTGCCGAGGGGGATGGAGTGTCGGGTGGTCCAGTTCTGGTCAAAGCTGGAGATCATCCATGAAAAGGTCTTCCTCAAGACCAAGCCATTCAGTCCTTGATGATCGAAGAAGCAAACATGGAGGAGAATGTGGATGATGGGTATGACCTGGGGCTGGCTGGCATGTAGGGCGACCCCCCGAAGAATCCAAGAAGTTGCGATGTTTTTGTTTTGCTTCGTCCTATAGTGTGGCATGGCCAACCCACTCCCACTCCTGCTGGAGCAGTGGGTTGAATCCAATGAAGTGCCCATCAACGATTCGAATCATTCCATTCATCCACTTCCGGAGAGGCTGAGGCACATCCGCAAGCCCAGCGAGTCGGAAGCCATTTTTCAGAGGGAGCCATCCGGGAGCCCAAAAACACGGACACTGAATGCCGCAGTTCAACTTCAGGGCTGCTCCGTGAACAACCGTATTCGTCCTTTTTTGTGGTCTTAGGCCCTTAGGCGAAGAAACGTGCGCGCCAGGTTTGGCACGTGGCAGCCTCCCAAACAATTGGAGAGACTCGGGAAAAGACCCACATGCAACCTGATGACATGGACCAGACTGGAAGACTAGCTTCTTCCAGCTGAACCAGTGGCTTTTCCCATGGCACTTGATTTTGTGTTGCAAATACCCCCATCCCCACCATGGCACATGCCTTTGTTCCTTTTCTCAGCGCACATGGCAAGGATTGGCTCAAGCCTGGAGGCAAGGAGTGACAGCCTTGATTCAACCTAGTCTACGCCGTCTCCGCAGATGGTTGGGCTGAATGACAGTCGCCTGCAAACCTGCCACTAACAGATGTGAGAACACTTTCGAGAGACTACCACTAGCAAGTTGCATCAATTTTCCATGGTCCCACTTTAGACTTGTTGTTTGCATGAGAATAGGTGGAAGGCCATCGCTATTAGGTGGGAGGCCATTGTAGATATGTTGTTTGCATGAAATTGGTATAGACTTCTCCAAGTCACCGTGCCCACCATGGCGGGGTACGATCAGCGGATCGCGTATCATGCGAAGCACTTTGGAGCCCACGTGGCTCCTGAGAAGGTTTTGCATCGCTACGCGCAACGGCTGGAGATGTCCCCAGAGATGGGCGAAGTGCAGAGGAAGATCGAACGCAAGTTCAGTTTTTGTGACTTGATGTGTTTTCCCTGGATCTGACTAAGATTATGTTCGGAAGTATATATATAATATATATGTCTTAGGGGCAGAATCCTTGCAGCAAGTCAGGAATGCTTTCCACGTAGCATCTTGGCTTGTGATGCTTCCACCAGAGCAGGCTCTGGTTCATCATGGAGACTGCTCAGCAGCGCTGCTCCTGGCTCGCCATTTGGAGCTCATGAAGGGTGCTGAAGATCTTTCTGCTCGACTGAGCTGGGTGCTTCATAGACTGCAGGAGGCTGCATTTTTCAATGAAGAGGTGGACCCACACTGGAGGGTCCTTGCGACTCAACTCCGAATTCTCTTTGCATCAACTGCAGTGGCAGATGATCCACTCCAGCACCCTGTACAGAGTACAGCACCTGCAGAGAGCAAATCAGCCCGCTTGATGAACAAAGCGGTACAAATATGGAAGAACCACACCGACGCAACAGACCAAGAAGCTTATGTAGCATCTTTGGAGGCCTCACTCAGCGCGGGAAGCGATGCGGCTCAAATCCGACAGGTACTTCGGCGCGCCGTTGCTGCGTTGTCGCCTCCGCGCTTGTGGAACGGCAGTCAAAATCTTGCAGGCAATGAGGAAGGGGGGATGTTTGCATATCAAAGTCTTCAAGGTCGGCTTCGGAAAGTGGTGCTTTGGTGCTTGCATCGCTTAGATCTAGCTGACTGTAAGGCAAAGCCTGCACTGGAGCTCCTGGAGTCATTGCTTCAGCGATTTCAGAAGCTTCTCTTGGAAGGGCAGCGACAGATTGGTGGCAAGAAGCAGTGGCTTCGGCTGCAGACCTTGCTTGGCCAACATTCCATGGAAGGAGTAACTTACATGTACAACCACAACCTTTTTGATACGGTGTTCTAGGGTGGCCCATTACCAGTAACAGTGGGGAAAAGGTTATCAGTTATCACTGTTATCACTATTTTTGAGAAAGGTCCGTACTAACCTAACCATCATCATCATCATCATCATCATCATCCATTGTTACTGGTAAGGGGACATACCCAATGTTGTTGTTATTTGTTGTTTGTTTTTGCCAAGCCCTTGAAACTTTTGAGATACCCAGCTGTGATCCATCTCAGAAGGACCCCACAAAGCTTGCTTACCTTGTTTTCTTCCAGTCCTGTTTGAGTTAGGCAAGTTCGAACAGCAAGAGGCGCCAGATCAACTGTGAACATGGCACTCAGTTGCACAACTGCCGACTCTGCAGACCCTGCCCTCATGGAAAGGCCAAGCGCTTGTGTGCTCCTTGTAGCGGATGTCCACATGGAAAGGTCAAGAAGAACTGCATCACATGTAGCGGGTGCCCACACGGCCGAGTAAAGCGAAGTTGCCCGGAGTGCTCTGGATGTTCGCATGGTAAGGCAAAGCGCAGCTGCCGTTTATGCAACATTTGCCCGCATGGCCGGGACAAGTACAGGTGCAAGTTGTGCAAACAGCAACGGCTACAAGAAAAGACAACCAACAGCGCAAAGCAGTGAAAAAGCTGCTAGCACGGCATACTGTTGGTAGACCACGGTGGACTAAATCGAACATCGTTGGGAATCATGATATGTTGTTCGTTTTTGGCATGTCGAGTCGGAAAGAAAGACAATTGAAAGACATGTGACATTGGCGGATCCGATCTCCAGAAAAGGTCTACGACAGGAAACGGCTGTCCATCATCGGCACGCTCCTCACCGCTACCAAACAGGAAGTGTAGTTCACCACCCGTTGGGTCCTTCGGAACATCCTTTCGGTCCCATCCACAGCATCCATGCCCAGATCGATTCGACAGCGTTCCGCTTACAGTGGTTTCAGAGTAGATGGCACAGACCTCAAGATGTCCTTTGCATGGGGGTTTATATAAACTACCTCTTGCGGTCTGTGCCATCTACTCTCAATCCACAAAAACTCTACCAGGATCATCCTGTTTGGGTGTTTTTCATGGAGGTCCAGTCTAGTGAGTGTCGGGTAGCCTATTCGATGCCCAGACAGGATGACCCAAGAATGCGCCGACGACAGCCCTGAGGACCCAGCGATGTGCCTACGTGGAGTACGAGGTTCGCTCGCGACATTCAACTCATTCAGGTTCACTTTCGCCAACGAAGGAACCGTGGTGTTTTTTCGCCATTTTGTTGCCCCATGGAGGTAGAGGAATTCCTGAAGGGGGTCACCTAGAAAAGACAGGAGGTTAATATTTATACTGGACTCCCGGGGTGTTCTTGACCTAACTCAGGCTTTTGGAAGATCCAAATTAGCGTTTGCAGACCACGCAGCACCAAGTGCACAGTTTACATCGCTCTTGGGACACGGATAGCAGCACTTTGCAACAGGTTTATGATGGTTTATGACGCTGATCACGTGACTGTTAGAGTGGATGGTTTGGCCAATCCCACGCTCACTCTCCCAGTGGCCAAAGAACCACCCCACCTGAGTTCCTCCAGGACAGCCGGGACGCACAAGATGCGGCGAAGGACCTTGATGGCAAGCGGATTGCGGGGAAAGAGGCGAGGGGACTGGCTTCGGAATCTCATTCCCATACACTCCATGGGACTGCCGTAGGACTGCCGCCCCATTGACCCCTTTGGCACCACCCCTGGCCGTTTCTCGGCAGTCCGGACTGGCAGTCCCAGACACTTGAAAGTCGCAGGTGGTGACCTGTGAAGTCGGCTGGTCTCGGGACGTCACCGGCCCTCCATGTCTTCACCGCGCTCACCGCCGACGTGCGGGCGGGGCACCGACCTACGGCAGGTCTCGGTGGTCCTCGCCAGCGCGGCCCACCGCGCGTCGACGTCGGCGCGAACGAGCACGGCGGCGGTCGGGAGGGCCCAGCACGGCGGTCCGGGATGGATGGAGGGTGAGTCGGCTCGGAGGTGGTTTCCATGTTGGGGTTGGAATTTACTAGTTTGTTGGGAAGCTGCTCACCAAGGGATTGTGGATGGTTGTGGCATTTTGGTAGGAAGACTCCCGATCGCCCCTGGCTGGGTAGACTGATGTAGACTGGTTGATTTTCCGAAGTCAGGGGTCGGAACGCCTGGGAGATCTCCCTTTTTTGAGCTATATACATACGCACCAGCAGAGGTTGAAGAACCCTATAGACTATCCTATAGGTACCCTGGTAGGGTCCCAGTTCAGGTCACTTAACCTTTGTAGGCATGTTGAGGATGAGTCAAAGACGGTCCCCAGCAAGCACCTACCGGATGTGTGATGTGTTTTTTGTCATGGACCCAGATTGTGTTTGAACCAACAGACCCCAAGACCCACGAAACCTATAGGAAACGTTACTTCATTTTCACTTAACTTCCCCAAGAATTGATGAGTTTCTCTCCAAACTCACCTCCGATCTTCACCACAAGCATTTTTCCTATGGGCTAGACTGGCCGACTGCTTGTCGCTGCGGGTCAAAGAATGCAGTGAGGTATGGCTTTCCATTTGCAGGCCTCTCTCTCTTCAAGTTTCACATTCACCAAAACTCTTCCGCTAGGAATGTCCAGTCATTCCCCATTCACCCACTCAATTCCCAGACTCCTGTCACCCTACAAGGCGGTGCCATCGAGAACCGTGAACTTGGAGCAGAGAGTGGCGGAGCTGGCGATGAAGCGCCGCCGCCCTGTTTTTTTTCGCTGGTCCCTGCCGCCTTTCTCGCGCGTGTTCGATCATAGGCACAGGTGCTTGATGCTCAACCAACTGGAATTTCTACTGTACAAAGTGTGGACGAGATTCTTTCAAAAAACCGAGATCTTGAGACTTGTTGCCCACCAGACTAGAAAAGCTTTGTTTGGTCCTTCAGGCCCAAGGTCGAAAAGACGGCAGAAAGCCAGGGGATCATCAGGGCAGCTTTGGGCAGCTTTGGCTGGTCGCCGATCTTGCAGTTTTACGTTTGTGTTGGGCCTCCGCGGGCCTCCATGTGTGTGTGTGCGGGTGTGTGTGTGTGTGTGTAACCCTTGGAGTCATAGGGATGCTTTTGCATTCATTTGTTTTATCGCAGGGGGGCAGTGCACGACTGACAGACACTGCCCAACGAAGACACTGTCAGTTCGTGGTGAAGCAATGCGGGACGCCGCATTGTGTACCTGCTGGAATTTTAACTTTTCCTGAGTTGAGTTTGACCTTCTGCAGACTTGCGCGACACGTTGTCATCTTGTCGGTTCGTCGTTCGGCTCCTTCCTCTTTGGGCCACCTCTCCGTTTGAAGACCCCCAGGTTTCGCTGGTTCCCTACTGATACTCTTAGGATCTGGAACCCTAGGCCGGCGTGTGGCACCGCATTCAGTTCCGTACACCATATCCTAAGTGTGTTTGGCCTTGTGCCAACCCGGGATGAGCCCGCAGAGTGCCTCCCGTGGACCCGTCGAACGGGTGTACGTCGCTGTTTCCCTTGCTCTGGAAACGTACGTGCCCACAGCGGGCGAAGGTGGCCTAGGCCGTACGTCCGATGATTTTTGTCCCATCTTTGGAACTCCAAGTTGGCTCGTGCCTTTACGTGACCGCAGCGGTCAAAGCAGCCAGCCACGTTGGCACGGCGTACGTGGCCGCAGCGGCCGAAGTTTGTTCAAGGTCCATTGGGACCTGCGGAGAACTTAGCCCCCTTCTCCCCTGCCCCCTTTCTTTCCTTGCTTTCTGGGGTTTTCCTGAATGGAAGACTCAGGATCACCCCTTTCCTTCTTTGGTGTGTCCCTGGACGATTCTTCGTAGCTGGGAACACCTGCCCTTTCCTTTTCTTTCCTCTCCCTTTCTCTCCCTCTCTCTTTCTTTCTTTCTTTCTCTTTTCCCTCTCCACCTTCCTTCCTCCTTGGGTGTCCCTGGATGCTTTTGTCATAGCTGGGAACCCTTCTCCGCTCTTCTTTCGGTGTGTCCTTGGACGCTCGCGTCGTAGCTGGGAACACCTTCCTTCCTTCTCTTTCCTTTTTCTCGTCTCTCCCCACCCTTCCCTCCTGTCTGGACCTTAGCTTGGGTTGCTACTAGGGGCTCCTGGCCTTCCTTCTAGGTCGCTACTTGACGCTACTAGAGGTTCCTGGCCTTGCTACTCCTTTGAATCTTGCCTCCCTTCACGGAGGCGTGTGTGTGTAACCCTTGGAGTCATAGGGATGCTTTTGCATTCATTTGTTTTATCGGAGGGGGGCAGTGCACGACTGACAGACACTGCCCAACGAAGACACTGTCAGTTCGTGGTGAAGCAATGCGGGACGCCGCATTGTGTACCTGCTGGAATTTTAACTTTTCCTGAGTTGAGTTTGACCTTCTGCAGACTTGCGCGACACGTTGTCATCTTGTCGGTTCGTCGTTCGGCTCCTTCCTCTTTGGGCCACCTCTCCGTTTGAAGACCCCCAGGTTTCGCTGGTTCCCTACTGATACTCTTAGGATCTGGAACCCTAGGCCGGCGTGTGGCACCGCATTCAGTTCCGTACACCATATCCTAAGTGTGTGTGTGTGTGTGTGTTTGTGTGTGTCCTCCCCCATCGGCCAATGTGTGTGTTGATCGAGGCACTTCTTAGATGATGCCGCTGCAGCTCGCCTGGCCAGTGTCGGGGCCCCAGATCTGTCACCGAAGGGAAGTCCTCAGCGCGGTGAAGTGGTAGAAACGGTCTCTAAACGCAGAGAGGGTGTCCAGTTCCAACCGGAGTGACCATGATCCACTCCATGCCACCCGAATTAAGTAACATCAACATCAAGTAACCATATCTAATCTATCTAACCACCTTTTCGACACTTCTGGCACTTGCCATTCTTGGCCTCTTAGGGGGCGATTTGAGCGGCACTCCACCTTTTCGACATTCGATCCACAACCACCTCTCGGCCAAGTGTTCATCCGATCCGAGCACCTTTGTGAGGTGTTTCAGGATCGGAGCCGGCTGGGCTGCGACCTGAACCGCGACTTCCAGGAACGCTTCGGTCGGTCGCCGCGGAGTGGCTTCGGTCGGAGTGGTTCCGTCTGTCTTGAGGGAGAAGGACAAGAAGGACGCGAAGCTGAGAGATCAATGTATCAAAATCCATGAGGACAGGATAGGTCCGAGTCCAAATCATTCCAAATCTCAAAAATCTAGGCAGGGACCATGGACCTTTGATCCTTCTGTGTCGGGACAGAAGACGGAGGTTGTGACCAAGGTGAGCTGAGCTTGAGAAGGAGTAGCCGTCCCAAGCTGTTTGGGCCATTGAACAGTTCTGCTTGTGGGTGACGTCGCTGGTCGCAGTCCAACACCCCCGGGGTGTGGTACCAGCGGCATCGGCCCGGAGCGGTGAGGTGAATGCTTCGGACCCAAAATCACCCACCTCAGATATTTCCAGATCACCAAGTCTAGACTCTACCTGGAACCCCACAACCAGAAACAGCTCTGGTTGTTCCAATATGGCGCCAGCTTGAAATCATTTACAATAGGAAATGGTTGGGTCTGGGGAAACGTCCATTTCTTTCTGGTTGTTTTTAGTTCCAGGTAGGCCCTACCCCACTCGGTTCAGAAAGCACTCTTTGAGAAAGCTATGGGGACGGAAGTCAGGGCATGATGCCGCATGGGTGGCTCACGCTCAGAGGGCCCTTCTTGTCTTCACAGGGATTTGGGTTTGATTCATGGCATTTCTTCTACCGGCGGCAAGCAGTCCAAAGACCATGTTGGGCAACACCGAAGCAAAAGAAATCCTTTTGGGATCTACACTCCCGAAAACTAACATCGACCCTGACAACGACACCCTTTTCCAAGGGTTTTCCTCTACCAGCCGACGTGGTTTTCAGGATCCATGGGATCGTCTACCCTCAGGGTGTCTTGGACTTGGACCCCTAGGTCCCCAGTTTGCACCTTCGCACGTTGCACACTGCACACACTGCTAGATTGCTGGGCCATTCAGCAACGAATGGAGACCCAAAGGATCAGCACACCCAACGAAGACCCAAAAGGACACCATTCAACGGGGGGCCATTCGAAGGACTTGGACGAGCACCTGTCGGCCTCCAACAAGCCTTCGGCGTTGGTGAGTATGAAGCTCTCGGAGTTGGGAATCCTCAGAGGCAGCGACGTCAGGAAGTTCAGTGGATCACCTCCACCTCACCGAACTGCATTGGGGAGGACAATTGGGGGAGGACATCCCCACTCCAGCAGGCGAAACGGGAGAGGGAGAGCGCTTCCGGAGCGGAAATCGCTGGGCATGTTCTTCTTCCAGCGATTTCCCGAGCGAAGTTGGACGATTTCTGCCGAGGCGGAGCCGAGTCGACTCGAGCCGTACTACCAGAAGTCGGACACGAGCACAAAAAGGATCCAAAAAGGCGGTTCACCAGGACAGTATGGATTTTTGGCGTGGAAAAGGCTTGAAAATTCTCTGGCTGCGGCTGGTTGATTCATCTTGAAGTCCCAAATTTGTCCAACCCAGTTTGCTTGCTTGACTTTAACCCACTTCAGCTCGACGGTACTCAACAGATCCTTCTGGGGTCACCGTGGATGATCAATTAAAAAGCAAGTGGAAAACTAACCCACCTATTTGGGTTTTCGGAAACTGGTCATCCTACTTGCACGATGACTTCAGGGAGTCGTAACTCCAATCCGGTCTTGCGACGTGGCCGTGCCTGCCCGGACGCGCGCTCTCTCCGCCACGAGCCTCGCACCGGGTCACGAGGCTTCGATCTGGACGTCCCATTGGCACGGGAGCTCGGGCAGTGCTTCGCCGGACCGGGTCGGCTTCGACCGGAGAGCGGTTTTCCCCGGGGCGCGGCCCGGAGAGAAGGTTGGGAGGCGAAGGTTGGTGTTTGTGGGGAAGTCCGTTTGATATCCTTTGAAACCTTTGATCGTTTGATATTAGGTGGTTCTTTTGTTTTTAAGCTGACTGGGTTTTTCCTAGTGTAAGACTCCTTAATAAGAATCACGTCACATTACTTCGTTCTGGCCCGCCTCATCGGTAGGCGACCGGTCTCCGGTTTGCGACCTGGACCCTTGAAGGATACAGGTGTGTATTCTGCGCAAGTCCGGTGTCAAGCCTCCCCTGGAATGACTCACCATGTATTGAAGGAAGTGTGCTTAATTGATGTGCTTTTATACGAGATCTTTGATACATTTTGACACCCTCCCCGCAAAAATCTGAAGTGGACGGAAAGTCGGCGACATTCTCGTTCGGAAGACGCTCGAAATCGGGGTCTCAGCACTGTGATTTCCTGGTGCTGGCTTCTTTCCACTTGCGTTCATCAGTCCAAGCATATCGACTTCGACCAGGTCCCGAAGATCAGCTCCTTTGGGGGAACAGCCACCCTTCTTCACGTCCCTCCCGGGGAGCGACCGGGGGGGCATGAACGGTCCGTGACGCTCAGACAGGTCTGTGACGGTCGCTTGCGGTTCATTTCTGGCTCAAGATCTTAGATTGGCTGACTCAAGTGTTTGTGCGAAACCAATGCGTTGACCAGACCGGGTCGGGTCATCAACTCGAAAGGAAGAGACGATACCGAAGACTACACCACTCGTTGGTGACGGTTGGCACCTTAAACGATTTGAGCGAATTGATCGCAACAAGGACCTCGTACCCTTGTCAATGGGTTGTTGTTGGACCATAATCGGGTGAACAATGGGAAGAGCTTTGCATGCAGCACAACCTCACAGTTTTTGGGAGAACTCCGCATCGCAGAGCAGCTTCATCTTCATCCAGCATCCTCCTCCAAACTCACCCCACTCGCAAACGCCATGCTGCGCAAAGAGAAGGCGCGTCATGGGGGGGGCGGGGATTGGTCCCTGGAACCGAGCGGTTGGCCATCACGTGGAACCGAAGCCACGAGATAGCCGCCGCCTTTACGTGGGTCTTCGGTTGAGCGCCCTACTTGAGCCCTTGTAGCAAGATCTGCCCAACACAAATATGGCTACACATAGAAAGTCTAGACTTATTAGGGGCTCATCGTCTTCGCATCTCACTCTTGCTGCATGCCTGGAGCATGCGAAACACGCTTGAAAACGATCAAGAGTGCGAAAAGGAACCCACCCTTCACTCCTGCACCGTTCAGGCCAGGTTGACGCTTCGAACCTGCACGCATGAACTGCGTCCAAAACAGGGCATCTACAATGACTATAGCGATAGGATCCAGCGGGTTTGTCCATTTGCTAAGGACGGTTTTTCAGAAGGGAAAAGTGGCCCTGTCGTTTACCTGAGCAGGACTGTTGCTAGAGCTTGACAAGAACCGCGGGCTGAAACCCACCTGTTTCACTGTATCTAGACTCCAACATGGGCGAGCAGACCGGCGGCGCTTTGAACCCAGGGCAGTGGTACAGTATGCCTGACATCCGTCCACATCTTCCACCGACCTCCATCCGTTCCGTCGAGTACAGGACCGCTGGTTCCTGACGACGACGCCCGGCCGCCCGGCCGCCTCCGTGTGAGGCCGACCCCGGCTCGCCCGCCGCGGGCTCGGGGACCTCCGCCGTGCGGCAGAAGCGGGCAGAGGCGGCTCGGAGTGAATTCCAGCCAGAAAAAAGGTGGATTGATGTAAAGTAGTATTGTGGGATCCTTTGTTTTCTACCTCAAATGGAGTTTTATATTCTATATATTCATCAAGAATCAAGAGTCCAAGTTACAGAGGCGGAGCGGTCGCCATTTGCTCGTTGCCAGTCCTACGGCCAGTCCGGACACATGTCCTCCCTGTCCTTCCGAGTGGGTGGTCCTGCGGGTTGTGGGATGGCTCCCCAACTGTGCCATCAGGACCAAGCGAGACATGATGAGACTAGGTTGGAGCCCATCCAGTAGGCCATCCCTATTAGGTTGGAGGCCATCACTATTAGGTCAGACAGACTAGCCAAGTAGCCAGGATCGTTCAAAAGCTCGGACGTCGGCCATGCGATCCGTATACATTGGAATCGGAAGAAAGAGGGTATACAGGCCCAGACACTCCATGGGACTGCCAGAGGACTGCCGATCAGTTGGGGTGGTTGACCAAGGGTCAATGGGGCGGCAGTCCTATGGCAGTCCCATGGAGTGTCTGGGAGGGATGGGACATGATGGAAGTCGGTAGTATGCTATGGCCCATGGCATACGATCATATATGGTGTGCCTCCAGGGTTTTGTCTCAACATAGGATGTACCCTCCACTCATTTCCACTCAATCATTCGTGAAATTGGCCCCACTAAGGCGCCCCGGCAAACGTAGGACATCGTAGGACCGTAGGCAGACATCAAATAGGGACCCACCTTGACCACTGCGTCTTCAAATGCCCTCGACCAACCAGCTGCTTCGGAAGGAGGACCCTGACGCCGAAGAGCCTGGGGGTCCCAGGTGGTGGAGGGCTTGATGAGGGATGAGCTGAGCTGGAAAAGGATGGAAAAAGGCCAGGCTCTTTTTGTTACATGTTGATCCTCTTCTTTTAAGGTGTCCAGTAAGCAAGATGTAGCAGGTTTCAGAGTAGGTTGGCACAATCTCCAAAGAGTTGTTTATATGGACCCCCATCTAAAGACATCTTGGGGTGCCAGCGCGATCTACTCTGAAACCAGATCGCACGAAGTGAAGATGTGTTGGAAAGGGCGTTGACCTTTGGGATCACATGGTTGAAAGGTATTTCAGCTTCACAATTTGGAGTGCTTATTCACCACCGATTGTCCACTTCTTTGGGCAGCTGACGGCAGCAGACTTGGCGTGTTCAACCTCAATGACTAACCCCTTAGACTGTGACTTCACCATACTTCACCATAGCATACTAGAGCGTTCAACCTAGTGGATTCATGCCCCAATAGTGTTCAACCTATAGAACCATATAGAACCTATAGAACGCCAAGTGGGCTCACATTACCTAATGTTCAACCTCTTTCTCTTGAGATGATTCGCCCCAATGGATTCATGGCCCCTTACGAAACTGCCGAGAGTCCGTCGTCTCGACGAAACCTGGTCTGGACGGCTTTCGTCAACCGCCGCCAAGGTCGGGCAAGAAGAGCTCCTGGACAAGAACGGCTTTCGGGGTGTGTCTTGTGTGTCTTTTGTGTGTGTGTGCGTTATTTGTGTGGTGTTTTTCTTTGTGTGTTATTTGTGTGTGTGTTATTGTGTGTTGCTTGGTGTTTGTTTTTCTTTTTTGTGGAGGGCAGTTCCCCAAGATCAATGCGTAGAGTACTTTGAATGACCCCACCCATAGAGAGAGAGAGAGATGGATGCTTTTTTGAGGATCCTAGAAATGAATGGTTATGATTGACCCATGATCATGCCAGGGAGTGCACTGGATTTTTGGTTTTCGGACCACATGCGAGCCATAGAGCCTTCGTGGGTGTGACTGAGGTTATCAAGAGGTCCACGGAAGGGCCACTTGTCTTGAAGAAAGGCTGTTGGTCGTAGACCGGTGGACATGAACAAGATCGATTCTCTGGTGAACTTGGAGAACTTCCTGCAACATAGAATGACATAGAATGGCCCACATATAACACACCTAGGAGCGCTATGTTTGTGCCCTTTTTGACAAGCCTACCAGCACCTAGGACATATTAGGACATCATATAACCATCATGAGGTGAGATCATATCGCAGATCCCCAGGTGCTTGATCAAGGAGCCATCTTCGAGTAGGTCCTACAGGCAACAGACAATGTCATGCCCAGAAGCAAGAGTCAACTAGAATTAGCTGCGGGGAAGGTTCGTAAGATGTCTTGCCCAAACCTGAATCGCAGGCGACCTCTAATGATGTTTGTGTCCAAATGTATATTTGTGCAGCGGTGCCATTGGGATTAGCTATTAGACCCAGCCTTGACTAGTTTTGATTGATTAAAATTTAACATCATTTGAATCATTTGACTATGGCGGTTGCATTGGGAAAGCCTCTCTTCAGACATGTGGTGGCTGCTTTTCCCCTGTAACATGACTTAGTGTTTCCCCTGTAACATCTCCCAAACTAGATGCTAGCTCGATCTGTGTCACATTCTACACCCATTGGCCCCTCCTCTTCGGGCGGCGTCGTTCGCGAGCTGTGGTTCGCCAGCCCCCCAGTCCCGCCAGTCTGACCCGCTCTGATCGTCAGGTGCCTGGAGGACCTGTGAGAGATAGCAAAGGCTTGGCGGTGCAGAGCACTGGAAGACCAACTGAAAGACCCAAGAAGAGCTACGAAGAGGTGCACGGAAAGGCGCGGCGCATGGGGGGAATTCCGGGGAGACCCGTTTGCGGCCGAGGTTGCGCTGATGGTTCTTTACATGCAATCTAGTCAATAGTGCAAAAGGACTTGGAGATTCTGGGGGCAGACGCGCATTGTCACATCCAAAAAGAGCAACTGTGCCTGTGCCTTTCGCTTTTGCACAGATGCCTGGCGGCCCCGTCATCGATGAAGATGGCCTGGCTGTGCAATCCACTGGAGAGCCCTTGGAGCCGCAAGCTCGCATTCAGAAGATGACCCCAAATCCCAAAAGAGTCCCCAGTTAGCTATCCGATTATCCACGCATCCAGTAGCATCATGATAGTAGAGTTTCAACTTCGACATGGTTGAGTGATTGCCTTAGCGGTTCACTTGACAGTTTAGCACCGAACAAAGACTACTAGGCCGACCACCCGACGTACGTCGACACCGGGTGTTGGGACGAGGTCTGAAAAGCCGAAGAAATCCTATGAGGAGGTCCACGGCAAGGCCGGAGCCCGGCGTTTCTTTCGGCTGGGAGCAAGTTGAGCCTTGCAGAACACTATAGAACACTCCAAGCAAAGGTTTATACATGGACATGTTTGCTTTTAAACATGCCAGCGTAGATGCGTAGATAATTACTGGTGACTGGTCTTTTGGATGAATAATTTTTACTGGTGTCTATGTTTGAGGGGGATCCTTCAGGGAGAAAAAGGTCGTGTAGAAGAAACCATGAAGACCAGCAGCCCAATCAATCTTGGTCAGTCCCATGTGTTTTGTTCATACCTGGCACGCCTACAGTGGCGACAACTCGACTGTTGATTACATAGTGCTACAGGGAGTCGAGAGAGGGAGGGAGGGAAGGAGGGAGGGAGGCTCCTAGGACTAGAAGCAGCAAACAGCCGTTCCCCCTCCATTTTGGCTTTTGCAGATGCCTGGTGGCCCCGTCATCGATGAAGATGGCCTGGCTGTACAGTCCACTGGAGAGCCCTTGGCGTCGCTTGCTGGCATCTTGAGGCACATGTCAGGAGGAGGCGCATCTTGAGATCTTGCCTCACCCAGACACTCCATGGGACTGCCATATATGGCTACATTGACCCCCTTCTTCAACCACCCCTGGCAGTCCCATTCGTCGTGTTTGGGTCATCTAATCATAAAGCCACATTGGCTTACCTTTCCGTTGATCCGGCATCATCCGACCAAAAACATCCCAAAAACATCCCAAGCCACCCATCAGTTGCGGACATGCTGGATCCAATCTTTGATGGATCCTCCGTCTCCTGCGGGGTCCTTGCCATCGCAGAAGGGATCTAAAGAATTGACACATTCACTCCAAAAAGACCTTTGGAGTTCGAACGCGAACGGTGCCTACGGGGCCGAACCTCTCGTGGACCCCCGGGTCCCGGTCGAAGTGCGGCACCCTCCACGCAGCCATTCCATGTCGGTCGGGTGTAGGTCGGAGAAGCCCAAGAAGTCCTATGAGGAGGTCCATGGCAAGGCCTGAAGTAGATTTTGCTTGGTAACTGGAAGAAGCTGGTCAGACGTTCGATGTTCTTCGTTCTAGAAGTGAAGAAATCACGGTATATGACATGAAGAAAAAAGCTCAGTGCCAAAGGCCGATCCGGAAAACTCCTGTTGATTGGGGAGTGAGTCTACAGCCTAGTCGTGGTTTCCAAATAGATAATAGTTGCATGGTTTCCAAGACATTCTTAGTGGGGATCTACTTTTCTATTTATTTGGATATGTTACTGTTGCAATATTATATATAAATAAGCACATGTGTATATATATATATATATGAGGATCAGGACCTTTGATTGGCCAGGCCGGAAAATGCAGCGTGTCTGAGCGCTTGAGGGCCTGAGGAGTGTCATGTATATGCACTTAGGCACGGTGATCGCAATCCCAGTGACCAGCCCCAGTCCCCCCGGGCTGACCCGCTCTGATCGTCAGGTGCCTGGAGGACCTGTGAGAGATAGCAAAGGCTTGGCGGTGCAGAGCACTGGAAGACCAACTGAAAGACCCAAGAAGAGCTACGAAGAGGTGCACGGAAAGGCGCGGTTTGGGGTGTAGGGGAATTCCGGGGAGACCCGTTTGCGGCCGAGGTTGCGCTGATGGTTCTTTACATGCAATCTAGTCAATAGTGCAAAAGGACTTGGAGATTCTGGGGGCAGACGCGCATTGTCACATCCAAAAAGAGCAACTGTGCCTGTGCCTTTCGCTTTTGCACAGATGCCTGGCGGCCCCGTCATCGATGAAGATGGCCTAGCTGTCCAATCGACGGGCGAACCCTTGGAGCTGCTAAGAAGCATTTGAACATCGACGCAAGGGCGGCGCAAGACTCCAGTGTTGATGAATAATGAGCATATTCTTAAAAACGGTATAAGAACACCTCCCCAATATGCCGATGTGTTACCATCCAGATGGATGTTTTCCCTTCAAGAGTTTGTAGTCTACTGCACCAACCCCGCACGGCTCGGTGCGCAAGATCCGCGATCCGGTCGCTCCGGGGGTCCTGTGCGGCCTCCGTGCGGTTTCGTGCGAGACTGGTCGCAGCGCACGGTGGAAGCAGCGGGGTGCTGATTTGCAGATGAATGGCCCAATACACAGCCAACAGGTTTGCATTTTGCGTTTGATTGGACCTTCTGGACCTGTTCTGGACCAACAGGTTTGTGCAGGATTGCTTCCTTCAACAGTTTGATTGCTACTGTCTCAACTATCAGTGTCCATTGTTGCTCAGCACGCAATAGCATCTCCGCCACTACGACGTTTCCTGCTTGACTTCTGGCAGCATTTTACCCCTCCCCGTGATTTGTGTGAAGTCCTCCCATGGTTTCTTGTTGATGTGGCACGGGGTTCTGGACGCCAACCTAGGACACAACCAAGCCAGAATGAAAATAAGCTTGTATTTTAATAGAGGGAGACCTCCCAACCGATTCATTTGTTTTGGATTTTACCACATTCTGACCTGCAAATTGGTGTCACTGTCCATATCAGCATTGACGACTTGGTTTGGTAGTGCAAATGCCAAGCAAAACCATGGTTCTTCGGAAAAGATCATTAAGTCAATGGTGGTTGGACTCCCAGGGAATACTTTTTGGTACATCCACCCGAGCCCGCAGTTCCAAATGTGTTTGAAAGCCTACTGTAAGTGAGCGGATGTAAAATTGGGGGCACCTGCACTCCTTCCTCCGTCCGGAACCGGCACCCCTTGTGGAACTATTCGCCATGATTTCCGTTGCATGCCCGGATCTTCCAACTATATTGCCAACAGATCCGATCCAAAAAACGCCTTGTCTCGTTCCCCCCCCAAAAAAAAAATGCAGCAGAAAAAGGGGTGCACTGTTGGAAGGTTCCTGCGGTTCCCTCGCACCCTACTGAGGTCCGAAAGCAGTTCCTCGGATCCTTGGGCAGAGGCCGGGGCGGGGTGTACCATGTTTTCGCGCTCTGCGCTCGTCCTACCAGGAGTCACATGGAGTTGGGTGGGTTTTAGTTCCTAAGTGAGTGGATGTGACAGCGGCACCTGCACTCCTTCCTCCGTTCGGAACCGGCGCCCCGAGCTCTGTGACTCCTGGTAAATGGTGTTTCCTGATCCAGGCATTGAACTGAAAGACTCGGTTGTCCAAATCACTTGATGTTGTGTTGGGCCTTGATTGAACATGTCTTTCGAACAAGCACCAACGCCTAGTGGGAAGTTTACCTCATGTCGGATGATGTAAGATACTGCTGATCAAGAGCATGGGAAGAACTCTGAGCATTTGGCCAACCCCAAGACTTAAAATTTGAGCCATTCCAGAAGCAGGTCTAGATTGCCTTTGGA